AAAAAAAAAAATATTTAGCACCATCCCTGGCCTCTACTAACTAGATATCAGTAGGATGCCCTCCCCACCCTCCACAGTTGTGACAACCAGAAATGTTTCCAAGCATTGCCAAAATGTTCCCTGTGCACAATCGCCCCATGTGGACAACCATTGCTTTAGGTCAGGAGTGAGCAAACTTTTTTTTTTTTTCCTTGAGACTGGATCTCACTGTGTTGCTCAGGCTGGAACGTGGTAGTGCAATCACAGCTTACTGCAGCCTCGAAATCCTGAGCTCAGGCGATCCTCCCACCTCAGCCTCCTGAGTATCTGGGACTACAGGCTCGTGTCACCACGCCCAGATTATTTTTAATTTTTTTTTTGGAGGGAGTGAGTAGAGACTGGGGTCTGGCTGTTGCTCAGTCTGGTCTTAAACTCCTGGGCTCAAGTGATCCTTCCACCGCGGCCCCCCAAAGAGCTGGGATTATAGGCGTGAGCCACCGTGCCCAGCTGCAAACTTCTTCTGTAAAGCGCCAGCTGATAAATGTTTTAGGCTTTGCAGGCCATATGATCTCTGCAACTATTCAACTGTTACTGTAGCACAAAAGCAGCCATAGATAATATGTAAGAGGTTGAGCATTGCTGTGCTCACTAAAACTTCACTTATGGATGCATGATTTGAATTTCACATATCCTGAATTATTCTTTTTCTTTTTATTTTATTTTATTTTATTTTTGGAGACAGGGTCTCACTCTTCATCCAGGCTGGAGTGCAGTGGCATAGTCATAGCTCATTGCAGCCTCGAGCTCCTGGGCCCAAGCAATCCTCTTGCCTCAGCCTCCCAAGTAGCTGGGACTACAGGAGCGCGCCCCAACGCCCCGCTAATTCTTGTATCTTTTGTAGACAGGTTTCCTCATGTTGCCCAGGCTGGTCTCGAACTTTTGAGCTCAAGCGATTCACCCACCTCGGCCTCCCAAACTGCTGGGATTATAGTCGTGAGCCACTGCACCCAGCAATTTTTTCCCAGCCATTAAGAAACGTAACCAGGCCGGGTGCGGTGGCTCAAGCCTGTAATCCCAGCACTTTGGGAGGCCGAGACGGCCGGATCACGAGGTCAGGAGATCGAGACCATCCTGGCTAACACGGTGAAACCCCGTC